GGAGCGATTCTGCAGTTGTATTGGTCGAAGACTGCTGGTAGAGACGTCAGTAGCCTGAACCGCTTCTTGCATTGCTGCTACCTGGCTGCTACCTGTTGGATATCGTTTCGCCTAGCAAGGAGATGAGACAGCGCGCAAGCATGGCGAAGACATGCTGAACAGGAGCAGGAGTTTCTCAAAAAACAGTGCCGACATATCCCCACAGTACTAGGCTGCGAGTTTTAGCGACCCCAAATATGGGACTCACTTTGGAGGGTGGCCAGAAATGCAGCCCTCTTATCTCAGTGCCCTATCCAGTTTGTTCGTGTCTGCAGGGTCGGGCCCAAGTACGGCATCAAGCGCCATGGTTGCAAGTTGAGTGTTATCAGCTTTGTGAGTTGCGAAGCTTGCCAATTGCGTGCTACGCAGACATAGCGGGTCAGGGTGCTAAAGCATCCTTTGACGTGGAAAGGCTCTGCGAATGCATTGGGTTGTTGAGGTGGCAGCATGGTACTGTAATCTCCGCCTGATAGACAAGTCTGCCATGGTGAGCATGTTCTATGATTTCGCTCTTTTGGCGATGCATGGGTAGAGGGCCCAGCTCAGCCCCCGGCTCTTCAGGGGTTTTTAATCCACGTGCCCGAAGGGACACGGTTTTCCCCTGTAAGTTGAGCATGGAATATCTCCATCGGGGGAACAAGCACAAATACCCCTTGAAGTCGCTATAGAAAGGAGATGCCGTCTATTATCACGCCATATCACGCCAAGTGGCTGAAATATTTACCGATAGGGAGACCCAGAGCCAACATGCGCCCCAAACTGTGGCTGCGTTCGGATACAAGGCTTTTGGCAATAACTCATATCTCAAAAGCAGACTTTGTTCTGCAGATTGCAGGTATTCATGGAATGGCACAAGCTCTTCTGCCATGGACAGCTTGCGCCTCGTGCTCTGGGCCCAAAGCAAGGGCAAAAATGAGGACATCGTCTTTGTGACGCACGTCCTCTAGAATCAGCTTGTGTGTTGACATGTGCTTCCCAGCAAAGAGATGTCCAGGAGTTTATGGCTGCCTTGGGCCGTGACCTCAACTTCCCCAGTCCTTGAAGCAGTTGCTCAGCACCTCGTTTGCTTGTGCCTGCAATTGCAAGGCTGGCGCCATCATGGGGAAGATCAGCAGCTAGCAAACCATCAGGCTTGACGAGACAGGGATAGAAAAGCCTTGGCCAGGGATTGCAGACCCCCCACAGCCTTTCTTGAGCCCAGAACTCAAACTAAAGCAGGTGCTGCTGGATTCCGCAGCTGAAGCCGGCCTCGACCGCACGGAAGCGAAGCAGGTGTCCCTTGCGCAGAGGAGAGTGAAGAAATTTGGGGTGAAGCGCTGTGCTACTTGCTACCGTCGTGTCTACAGCTTTGACGGGCGGGTTTGGGACACATAGCAAGCAGAGTCTGCGGTACTTGCATTGATGCTGTAGTGGCGAGCACTTGAACTTCAAGCATCCATTGCCCCTTGCTGAGCATTGCTAGGTATTGGAGTCCGGGAGCTTTCAGCGCGAACTGCAAGAATGCAGCGCACTTTGGCTTCGGCTGCTCGGGTGCAATAGCGAGAAGGCGTTGTGGGCTAATGGATTCGTAGGCGGGCAGAGCGCATTTCTGGTGGCCAATCAAGTGCAGCTTTATTGCTTCAGCAGACTATTGTGCAAGGAGAACGCTTACGCCCGCAGGCCGCGAGCGAAGACTGCAGACACGTTTGACTTGCCAGCACTGATGTCACAGAAGCCATTGGCGCAATCCAGCCTCGATTTAGAAGGCTAAAGCAGCTAAAGCTGTGAAAGGGTTTAAGACATTGGTCCTGGGTCGCATGGTATCGATCGCCAAAGAGAGTGGGCACCAAGAGAAGCTCTGCCAGGCTATGGAATGATGGTCTGTGGCATCCCTGTGTTGCTTGGCTGTCAAATTCCGCTGCAGTTGACATGTGTGCCCTAAACCAAGTGGCAGTCAATGCGTACTTCAACTTCTGTGCCTCACCTGCTGTAAAGTGCTGTCGCGGCAGTTGTATGATATGCATGTAATGTCACGCGTCATCGTCAACTCTGATCTTGCGGACTTGCACTCCAAACCCTCAATGCTACCTTGCGCTTTTGGGCCCAAATCGTTGCTGGCAAGCTTGCGGCTTGTGAAATGTTACGTATTCCAATTTATGCGCAAGTCTTGCCTGGTCACGCACCTTTATCCACTTTTGGTGCACCTTGCAAGACGTACTACCTGGTTACTACCTCTCAAAGACACGCCCGGCCAAGCATTTTTCCTTGTGGCTTGCCTTGGATTCCTGAAGACACGAGTCTTCCGGCAGACCCTTGTATCAGTTTTGACTAACAGGCTCAAGGAAAAGCCTATTGTCACTGAGTCGCTGGTGGGTTCAAAGGGACAGCGCCAGACGCACTGCAGCACCAGTTGAACTAAAGGTGGGCTTGTTGGATCCTATTCAGTTGAATCAAGTTGAACATGTCATGTCTTCAGAAGTCACGGCAGACATGGCATGGTCAAGCAGCTGAGGCTTGTGTTTCGTCCAGGTCTGCAATTTCAAGGCAGATTTCAAGAGGACCTGGCCGATTTGCACTGTGATCCAGCTTCACGTTGGAGCCTACGGCCATGGATTGTGTATGTCTACTTGCACCCCAAGACACATGAGACTCACATGCGAGAATGTGCGAGAACCCTAACACAGGCCTCTCAACTTGCGCTTGCTGCTGGTCTCAGCCTTGTTTGCATTTGATGAGGAGATTCTGCGCGGCTCTATCCCACAGAGCGATGTTGACAACGTCCTTCGTAAGCTGGAGGCTGCACAATTTTCCCCTTGCCCATAACTCGTGCCAAAATAACGAAATTCTGCCTTGCTAGTCATCTCGCTGCCCCAACTATGGAGCTGCATTTCATGTGAGGACAGTGCTGCATGAGTGACTTCAATCCTGATTTTGCTGCGTGAGCTGTGCACTGCGCTTCAGAACAAGAGTTGCTTTTGCGAGGCATCGATGTCTTAGAGGTTGATGAAGGCCGCGCTCACTGCTTCCAGATCAAGTCTGTCGCTTGATGTCGCTTGACAGGTTTTGGCACTTTGAGTAAAATATCGACAAACACTACGAGAACCACTGGTCTATGCGGTTTGGAGCGTCCTGACCAGGCTAGAGACCGAGTTAGCAGCTCATGCACATGGTCTCGATGATTGTCATGACAGCCAACAACCAGAGCAGCTGGAGAGCCCCCGCTACGACGCTACGAGCTGAGTGCCGAGGAGAACTGGACCTTGGGGACCTTCGCCTTCCCTGCTGGCTGTGGCTCCGTGCAAGGCTTGACTCAAGCATTATTGTTGGCATTGCTGAGGAAGTTTGCTTCCCGGTAGCATAGCATTCTGCGCTGCCTCATTCTGCATGCCAAATGCCAAATGCTACAAAGCAGCTCTAGCAGGAACACCGCTGTGAACCGACAGAAGTGCAGGCACCTAGATCCGGAAAGAAGCCCTTTTTTGAGATGGCTGCTTGTGAGAGTCTACGCCCACGCAGCAGCAAAGTCTAGAGCGTGGCTGCTGGGTGACGCAGGCTGGGGCACTTGGCATAGAAGCTATAGGAACAGCAGGGTGATACGTTTGATTGAGAGCCTGTGCCCTGCCTTGCTGAGAAGAGCAGTACGCAAGCCAACGCTGTTTCGCGAGGAAGACACTCATGTAGAAGGTGGCTGACAAACAGCATACCAGTGCCAGTGTGAATAGAAATGCTCCAAAGTTGGGCAAAGCGTAGACCAGTCTGCCACAGGTTCGAGCTTCAATGGCTTGAAGATATTGATTGAGATGTCCCTGTGGCGAAGCTTCCGAGTCTGTAGGTCCAATTTCTTCATTGGTCAGAGGTTCATGTGGTGAAGGAAGGGGTCAAAGGTAAAAGCACTGTCCATCGGATTGAGATGTGACAGGACTGCTCATCCGATCAGATTTGCTTGAACGAACGCAGTTGCCAAAATGTCTGCATCATGTAACATGTGTATGTACGTGCGCGGTGTAGCTGTGGACAAAAAAGCTCCGAAGGACCCGGAGTGTGCGAAAGAGTGCAGAGTTCAGACAGGCTTTAAGCGATGGCTGCGAGCGTGCAGCATGATTAGCTCAGACACGGCGGGAAGGCTCCAAAACCACCCTTCCTGACTGTGGCTTAGGCGGATGTGGCATCTTCCTGTTCTGAGGGACGCGCCACTTGTCTCACAATGCATGTGCCCGACAACAAAGTATGTCCTGGAACCGCGCGGCCGCATGCTACAAAGCTGCAGAGATCATGGCAACAATGGCTGAAGCAGCTGAATGACACGATGAGACATTCTTAGATATTCTCGTCCGCAAAGCTGACTGGGAAGCCTCTTTTTCATTGCATGGAAGTGCTCAGATGCTTTTTGGACAGGCATGTTCTTGAAGACTCAGCCCTTGTGCTTGTAGTTCGATGGGCTCCACTGAACCAGCCCTTGCACAATCTGATCACTTCTGGCGCGGTTTCACGTCGCTCGTTAGTTCGAGGGCTTGTCAACCAAAAACCTATGCAATGCTGCGTGGCTTTGCGTCTTGTTCGAAGCGGTTCAGTTGCTTGCAGCCTGTGAGTGGACGCTCTTGCTGCAATCGCATCTTTAAGACGGCATAGCTCACCATAGCGGACAATCAATTTCTTGAGGAGTGGCTAGGCAACCGTTCGTGTCTGGTTTTCCGCCGCAGTGCTTAACGTCAGCACAATGAGGGCGATTGAACTCCTCGCCCAGATTCGGTAGTGCAACTTGGAGGAATCAGCAAGAGTTCTGCCACTTCTTCCTACAGCATGTCTTGCCACTGTACACACAGCCTGGTGTTGGCCTCCCAGAGGTACTTACCAAAACAGAGCCGGACAGAGTGGCTTGGAAGCAGAATCCAATATAGGACAAGGGATTGGCTCGCCTGAGCGGGGGTTGTCATCCGAATTGTCTGAGGAGAGCCCCTTCAATCCGCAGATTCGCTGAAGCCATGGAGGCGCCAGAACCCTGACGTGTTCATTCGAAGCACAGCAAAGGTGACAAATTCAATTATTTCAGCAGAGCGTGGCGTGGTTTACTACGGTGTCAAGGTTTAACATGGTTTAACAGGGCCTGCTCAAGACAGTTCATGGTACTGCGAGTCATGCAGGCTGCTTATGGCTCGGCGCAGCTCCAGCCGATGCCAAAGCCAGTGCCAGGGAGCGGTTCAATACAAAGACATCCATGGAAACAGTTAGAATACCTCTAAACAGTTTCCACACTGGTAGAGGCAATGTAGACTTATTGAGGGAGCCAGAACCTGTGAACATGATTTCAGAACGTGAAAGACACATGTCACAGAAGCAGAGCAAGCATACAGAATGATAGTTCCGGGACTACTGACAACAAAGGGAAACCACCGGATTTGCAATGTAGGTCATCTGGCCATGGTGTGCGTCAGTAAGCACGCTATGAAACGTGGCAAGCGAGACCTCCTGATATACACGAGAGCTTGGCCTGGAAAGGGTTTCTCTACATTGCACACGAGAAAAGACATTGTTGCAGATGCACGGTGCTCATTGAACATCAGTGTTGCCATGAAGTTTTAGCAGGGTATTTGCGCAGTCATATCACACAAGCGCAGCCCGCACGGAAACCGACTATTCTCAACAAAGCTGTTCTAGAGGAGCAGAGATACTACACTTGCAATTCCAACAGTTTTCGCCGCATTTTGCCGCTCCCGGAGAGGAGATGGCGGCTTAATCGAGTGGCAATGCTGGAGGCTTGTAGCTACAGCCGACCAACTGTCTGAAGATGTTGATGTGTGTAGTTGGTGCTATTCGTAGCCGATGTCTGCAAAAATGCACCTCATGCTGAAGGCTGTTTTCGTCCCATGGGCAATCTTTGTTTGTGTCTCCTGGCTGCTGACGTTCTCTGTGCGACGCCCAGTCTCAGACATGGTAGCCCGCATATGTTCTGCAACGTCAAGAAGGGACTTAGCAAAGTATCTGGGCACGGCAACTATGTGTTGGAGTTCCTACACCAGGCTGAAAGTCTTAGACTGCCACCCGGCGACATGCCCTACAGATGTTAGGTCCACTACAAGCACACAGTGCCAACGCTGGTGCTAGCGGCAGCGTGTCCTTAGCTGAGATGCCGTCTCCATCACTTGCCGGTGAATTTACGTGCACTCCGTGCAGGCTTGCTGGTACCGGCTGGCATGTGGTATAGAGTTTGGCAGCAGCCATGGCACTCAGAAATCTTCATTCCTCTCGAACATCAAGATGTGATACTTGTGAAGGCGGCACGACTCTCGAGACATCTCTCATCGAGAGCCAAACTGGTGAGCCTGGCCAGGAGATTTGAAGAACCGCTTTTCAACCTTCAGATAATGTTCAAGGATTGTCGAGAACGGTCTTGCGTCAGTGAATCATGACCGCCTTGTTAAAGGAAACCGCAGATAGAGCAGTGGCTGCGCCTTCAGAGGAAATCGAAGGTAGAAAGATGCCGGGACCACGGGCGTCAGGAACTACCCAAATGTGCAGAGTCAAGAAGCAGCAGAAGAGCCAGTACTTGTTGCATCAGCAAACCAGTAACGCTACGCGAAAGAAGAGCCAGCATCAAAAGAGCACCTGGCATCACCTCTCTGCAATCTTATTTGGTAGGGCGGAGGAGTGGGAACAAACGAGGCGAAACCGGGCATTTGCTCGTTGTATCGTTTTGTATGGCTATATTGCACCCGAGTGCAACATTGATATGTAAAGCCATGTCCTCTCAGCACTGGAGCAACGTCTGAACCTGCAGCAGTTGTGCCGGCTGCCCTACTGCATCTTAGTCTCGGTCCCCGAGAAACAGCCTGCCTCCTATTCCCTCCAGGCTGTCATGAGCACATGATCCGGACCAGACCCTGCAGAATCTACGCAATGGGTGTAGCGATTGTGGCAGGCTGTGCCTGGCTTGCGCCCAGACGGGCCATATCAGTCGAGAATAGAAGAGCAAGAACAACCAGCAAGCTTGAGCAGTTGCAAGCCGCGGTTGGAAGGTGCCCCTCTGGTGGCAGGCCGTCACAAGGAAGCATGTCGCATTAGGTGGGATTGCAGAATCATGTAAAACGATACCCGAAAGCACAACAACCTTGCAAGCTCATGCGGCTGAAGAGCCAGTGGTTTCCAACTTTGAAGGATATTGAAGGTGCTGTTCAACCAACTTCGGCAAAGCAAGCGACCCCAATTCAGTGCGTAGGCAACTGTAGACAGATGAGGCATGAACACATGTGTGGTTGTACTGGCATGGAAGGGTGGTGTTCGTGATTAATTGGTAGTTACAAGCTCTCGTCCCATGAAACAACATCTGCAAAAAGAGGTGGATGCGCGGAGAGGAGAGTCGTCTTCAACCGTAAGGGGGCGGTCTCGTAACGAACCTTCCGACAGCATTCATGCAGCAAAGCCACGACGCCAGGTTCAACTTTCTTGCCATCATGTGCTCGATTGCTGCTGCCCCAGCTGCTTCAGATCCACCATCCCGGTCAGTGTCCAGTCACGGTCCTTTCTCCTGAGAGCTTCTTGTCAGTCTTCTCGAATAACGCTACACCAAAGATTGGTGTAAAACGCTCTGCTGGATGAAAATGTAAGCGCGTTTACTACAAGGCCTGGCTTGCCGGCGTGGTAGCTGGGCTCTACACCTGGTTTTCTTACATGCTGCCGTGCGCTCTGAGATGAAGCCTTAGTAAGCTTTCAGCCAAGCACGTGTCAATTGTGCAGGTACTTTGAAAAAGAAAGCCTGGCGATCCTCACCAACGTAGACACCAGAAGAGCTGCAGGCGCTTCCGCGCTTCAGCCAGTCCGGGATGATTTTATTCAAGGCTTGCAGATGCAGGTGGGCAGTTTCTGGACATGGGTGCGCTGGAATTCGCTCCGCGAACAGATGTCAACGAGAGCCTAACTATGGGCTACAAGGCCCTGAGAGCAGCGCTCGCTAGCTACCTGACCAAAACCCTCTCAATTTGGAAACGTTGCTCTCAGCAACTCTCCAGGATGGCAACCTGTACTGCGTGGCTCCCATCGTAACCTCAGGTGCCAGCTGCTGTGACCTTGCATTGAATGCATCGATGCCTTGACATTCCACGACAGGAGGTGTCAATTCGACGCCACCTGCGTTTTACGATTTCTGGGCAGTGGGTCTGTCCCTCAGGGAAGCTGCTGGGCTTGACGCTGCAAAGCTCCGCATTGGCTGAGGCGTGAACTGTTGCAATCCATTCGCTCCCAAGCTGTTTGCTTGTGGCGAGCCCAATGATGACGAGGCCAGGTGCATCTGTTAACCCCTGAAGTAAGACAGATCCGCAGCTCTTTGCCAGAAAAAAGCCAGAAAGCGGGTGCTGCCAGGAGTTAAGACCATTCAGATAATGATGATAATGGCATCTGCCAATTCATGATCGGAGAAAAGCCGGTGCGCTCACGCATCTGGAAAGAAGAGGATATTAAGAAGCTTCTGGCGCTGAAGAAAACAACACGTCCGTGTGCGTGACACTGGCGCCTACAGTGCTGAGAACCCCGCCAGCTATCCCGTCGTGACGGGCCACAGGTTGCTCAACCTCCTCAGCCAGAAACTCATGCCCAAGCAGGAAGAGTTTTGAATGCTCGCCCAGGGCAAAGATATCAAGGCCGCATGGCGGTTGTATGCCCTGGGGCCCTGGACATGTGTAAAAGGCCTTGGGTACACGGTCTGTGCACTTAGAAAGCTATTAGGGTTAGAGTCGATTAGAGGAGCCCCGTCTGCTTGCAATCCTTGGAGGTCTCAGTGTTGCTGCCTATTCTGCAGTAGATCCACGTGGTTGAAGGCGCCGCTGGGCGTCGCAGCTGAACTGAGACGCCACAATCCAGCACGATCCCCTGCACGAATTGTAGAAAATGCTCTCCAAAACTCAGAACGGCCCGTTTGACCTTGTCGCGAACGATCCTCCAGCCTCAGGGCGGCCGACCTTACCAGTTATGCTCGAGGAATTCTGACAGGTGTTGGCCTAAGCCTCGTAAAATCCCGGCAAGCTCCGCAGTGCCCCTGGGCAGCGATAGCGGCAGCATCAGCAGCAGCAAAACGCTCGCGTCCTTCTAATCGCAGGGGCGCGGCGCATCGACTGTGCAGGCAGGGCCATGGATGTTACAGCCCTTCTGAAGATTGGAAAGGAGGGAGGTTGGGAAGTGACTTTTGTGTTGCGCTGACGACGTCGCGTCAACGGCGCGGGCGTTTCATTGTTTCGTTGATCACCAGTGTGCCGATGTCAGAGGGCTCAAGGGCCTCGCGTGTGTGAAGCCCCACAGAACACGCAGGGCGCATGTTACAGTACAGGATCGCAAGGTTCGCTGTGCGTGCCTGAATGGTGTTCAAGACCGACTCCCTGATTATTCATGATTTGGTCCTCAGTGTCATCGTAACGTTTCGAATTTTGGAGAGGCATCGCGGCTGTAGCCTCGATGGTCGTAGGCCTAGGTCCTGGCGACCTGCGGCAGCCGCAAAATTGCTGCGGTAGTCGTAGATCGACTGAGTGTCCGCAGCACACGTGTTTGCAGGAACACTTAACTGGAACTGCTGAAGTTAGTGCATCTGACGCAGTAGCAAACAAGTCGGCCTTCGCCAACATGCTTCTGAGCCAGCTGTTGTACAGCTAGTCAGCGCTGAAAATCGGCACAGTTCACGTTTTTCAGGCCACCAAGAACAGCAGCAGCTCAGAATCCAAATGTCTCAGATAGAAGGACCCCGATCAACATCATGGGCTGTCCAAGTGCGTGTGTAGCCATTGGAATTCGATTTAATGGGTCAAAATCCGGGTCATGCTCACAGGCTTTTTTTCTAAAGCTAGGCATTCAACTAGTGGGCACTCTGCATGATTCAGAAAATCACCCGTGTTCAAATTCAAGAGTTGTGCGATGATGCTTGGGTCATGTTGTTGTCCGTGTTTTACAAAGGTATTTTGAGTTGTAACACTTGGCAATGAACACATCGACAAGTGTTTGAATAAGCAGTAACACGTCGAGGGCAAAATGCTGTCAGAGTTAGAACAACCCGCGACCAAGTTTTGGTTCCGCAGTTTGGCATGGACCTGGCTGTTTTTTTTTACCATGAGGTTCTAGGCATTTTACGGCTTCGACGCGTTTGGTTTGTTGCAAGGGCTGCTTGGGCTTCAAGGCCTCTCTATTTGTGAAGGCCGTTTGGGTCTGCGTTGCATCGGTCATCCGTATTGCAGTATGGTTCCTTGGCATTGCGGTTGGGGCTGGGGATTTCGTGTCCGGGCGCATCCAATGAGTCGACTTGGTCTGGTGCTTCCTGAAGTTTTGTGCTTATGTTTAGCTTTGAGGGTCATTTCCATTCCCCTTTCCGATTCTTTTTGCGTGTCTTCCCAACTTTCGAGTGGGCTTTCCGAATTTGATTTTGTGCATGGCCGCTCACTTTGTTCACCAGATGGCGGGTTCTGTGCGCATTGCGCCACCGGACAAGTTGATGGCTAAATTGGCATGGTTTTCATAACCACAAACCAACAGGGCCAATGCTTTGTGCCACGGCGTTCGTGAATTGACTGCAATGTTGCTTCTCGAAGATTATCATGAAAAGATACCGTGCTCTTGCGTGCTATCAGGTTCGCGGTGGATTCCGCTTCACGGAGACTGCATTGGTTCCGCAGTTCAGGCTGGCTGGGAACGGCAGTAGCAGCAGCAAAGTGTGTTGTATGGAGCTTTGATCACGCGCAGCTAGCGGCTGCTCACCGCAAACAAAGCAATGCTGGGCATGTACCCACTCTTTCTTGATGTGCTCGGGGTTAGGTCTATGGCAGGTCACCTGCAGTCTGTCGGTTTTGCAGGAAAGCGATCCAAATGGCGCAGGAGGAGTATCACATCTTAAGCGGTGCAAGCCCGACCTTAGGCCCAAATTAATTACGTACGGATGCATCACATGGAAGGCCTGGACAAGGTTGTGATGCTGTGGTGTTGCGATTCCACCAGCTGTCGCAGTTGTCCATCCGAGGATCTTCCTCCACTGGACTGGTGTGAGATTCTGAGACTGTGGTTGGCACAGGTTCGGTAGCCTGCAGCCTCATCACTTGCTAAGGACCCTGCAAAAAAAATCGAGCAGCTGTACCTAGATGGCAAAGCAACTTTTTGGAAGTGCTGTTGGGAGTTCGCCTCAGATCGGAGATTAAGCATGATAGCATTGCCGTGGCCCTTAAGCTTGGAACTTGTTTGCAGACGTGTCTCAAGGTCGCTTTGGCAGTGTCAACCGTTCTCGTGCATCTTGGCTGCACCAACATGGCAGGAGAGCCGTCTTCGAGAAAAAGAGCAACCTTGAAAACACACAAACGTCTGCAGGCTGCTTGAAGTGGCTGCCCAAAAGTACGTCTGAAGCGGGGATTCAGCATTCATGTGGGATCTGTGCGATCCAGCAAAGAGAAAGGGCCGCAGCTGATGTGTGTGTCTCAAAAAGAGCGTCCGGAATACGTGCCAAGGACCTTCATTTTTCAGCCTTTTTTTGTGGAGCTCGCATTTCCATGTCTGTCAGATTCCGGACTTGCACAGGTCCACAGGATAAAACTATCACCGTGCCGGCGCCTACACAGCGAATCAATCCACGGATAGCAGGGGCAAGTAATGTTTGCCAGGGCCGAATGCGTCCCAATTTTCTAGAGTTCCACTTGCATATCAGATTGAAAGAGTTTCCAGAACGGTGACTGCAATTCAGGAGAGGCTCAGTTTGACTCAGCATTCCAGAGTTTTTTCGTATCGAGCTTGAATTCCTGCGGAGATCTTTTTTGCAAGAACATGCCAGAAGGCCAGAATAGGCAAGAAGAATCTGACCAAAGAGCATGCTTCCAAATCAAATTCAGCACTAGCAGTCTGCGCCTCAGCCTTTGTCGGCTTTTGAATCGTCCTGCGCGGACTTTGGGCTCAAAATCTAGCTTTGACCCTGTTTAGATTTTTCAACCCGCCCGCGGAAGGCTGCTCTGTGCCTGGCCCGGTTCAACGGCCAACTGCCTCCGATCTGACTTCACGTCGTCTTGACACATGACTCGCTAGTCTTGGCATCATGTGTCTTTGCATCTTTTTGCGTGTGCATCCTTTTGATATGCAAGGTCGGTCTTTTGTCTTGATGTTGTGATGCCGTTTTGGACTCAGCAGTCATGAGTCATGGTGTGCAATGCAGAGCATGGCTCTTGTGAAATTGTTGAAGTATGAACATGACTGTTGCAGTGTGCCTGGGCCTCGAAACCTGCAGCATGTGCTGAGATTTGCTGAGGTGCTGTGGACGTTGTCGAGCAGATGCCGCTGCAGACATTCAGGCAGGCAGTTGCCGTTTAGACCGGTGACAGGCTGCATGTGGCATAGTGTTGCGATCCGGCCTTTCACAAGGATGGCTTATTTGTGCCATTGCCTTGTTCTAGTGCTTCACAGTCATGATGGCGGACCATGCAGGCTCCGCTTGTCGACGTCTGCTTGCTAGAGGCTGTGAAGTTCTGTCCTGCATCAGTGACCGGCAAACTTCGGCAGAGTGTGGCTCCAGATTAAGAACTGCAAGTGGAAGCGATGCTGTCACGTCTGCTTGCGTGTGCTCCAATGTCAGCCGTCAAACTTGTGGCGTGAGGGGGCCAGTTGGTGAACCAACCATTGGGGGATATCCCTCAGCTCTCACATCATACTTCTACCAAGAGAACGCACGTTTTGGGATATGACTTGTGTGTAACTTTTTACACTCTCTGCTTGCTGGAAATGTATGATTCGTAACTGTAGCATTGCTGACATACGGCTTGTGTGCCCTGACGCTTGTTTCCCAATGATTCCCGATACGTGGCACAGGGCAACCGTTGAAAACAGACTGTGCCATTTCGAGTATCCCTACACTAGCGCTCTTGAGCAATACTTTCATGCTTCTCAGTTTTTCGTGGAGGGACTCTCTGGGTCAGACACTGGGAGAACGAGGTTGGGCACTCCAAGAGGACGGGTTACCGCCTAGAGCGGGGGTTGCAGGACCTCTTTGCTTCTTGACCATGTCTTGCTGTTTCGGTTGAGTTTTGTTCCTTGTGTGTCTTTCTTGTTGCTCTTCTTGTTCGTGCTTTGAGCAATTATATAGAAGAACGTTCAATCCAGGTGGTCATAGCAGAACATGAAGAAGGAGATCCTACGATTTCTCAGTAGGCGTCGGTTCCTGCAGAGAGTGGGTCAGCAGCTAAAGCTGCTGAAGGAACGTCATAGTTTGGTCCACGAATAATCGAAAGCGTCCCCTCTATATGAGAGCTTTGAAAAGCTGGCTCAAAGAATCGACTTTGTGTGGAAATTC